ATGAGTGTGATGACTTAGGAAGCAGATCTAGATAATAAGTAGTCTAAATTATTTTTTGGTAGTGTCAGGTTAGGAAGGCCTGGTTCAGTAGGAACTAAACATATCATCAACCTTGGGAACTAAAATTTTAATTATCCTTCCTCAAAAAATGATTGAAGTATTTCCTCTCTTCATTGTGTTTGTATTCATCAGGAACAGAAAGAGTAACTATTTTCATAAAGCTGAGCTAGGATATGGCATAAGGTTCTGTGAGGCAATGAATTCAAGAGGGGAATGTGCTGCAGTATGGGTTTTGTGTTTTTGAAGGAGGTAACACATATGTTTTTTTTCTTCCTAGAATATAATAAACAGCAGACTGGGTCCAACACATGAACTGCCCAAAGCATTACTTGTTTGTGTCTGTACTACCCTGAGCTATTTCTGGGTTGCCAGACTCAAAAAGTGAGGTGTGCCAAACATCCTGAACTCCTCTCATTAGAAGCAAAGTCAATCATTTTAATTCAGTGGCACTAGGATATTGAACCTGGCAGGTTGGTCTATGTGGGTGGGCAGTAACTGGCTTTGTTGTTAAATACATAGCATATTTTTCCAAATGATTTCATGCAGGAAGACATTTCAAACAATTTTTTTTATTCTTTGATCTCCTGTTGTTATTCAAGATGAACTCCCCAAAATGAGTAGACTGGGCCATGGCCACATTGTAACAGGGTAGCTCAACTTTTGGTTCTGAGAATGGGATTAAGTGGACTGACTATGGTATTGGCTGGTTCTGCTGGCCAAAATGTGAGCAGGAGAAGATCTGGTTTTGGGAAGATAAAGTGGTCAAAGAGTTGCAACATGGAACCTGTTTGACTTAACCAGAGTACTGCAAATTACATACTTTTATGCTTTTAGCCAGCTGACTTCTTTCATGTTTCAGCCTATTCATATTGCCAGTTTGCACAGGTAAAAATGAGACTCTTTTGAAGGATTGCTAGCACATCTTAGGGCTAGCATTTGCCTTATCAATAGACTAGGAAATGTAACATGAACCATGTATTATAATGGGGTGGAAGAGGGCACCTTTTAAATACTCCTGTGTTGAGGGTCACTGCATTAGCGGATAATAGTTTTAAGTGAAGCCACATTTCTAATAAGAGGCCAGATAACAAGGATAAATGAAACCTGCAGACAGTCTCAAAGCTTCATTTTAGCTATTATTTATAATCTCTTCTCGTACCAAACCTTTTACTATGTAGGAAAATTGATTAATTTGTGTGGATCTGTGCTCTCTGTGCCCATATGCCCTTGGATAGAGGAATGAACAAATAGAGAAATAGATGAGAAAGTAAGGCCAAGTGGAGATGAGGATGCATAATCCTCAAACTGAATGATCAACTCCAGAATAATCAAGATATAAATTTATGGTCTTAATATTAATCTTCATATTTAATCATTCTGAACAATGTTAAAAACAAAAGATTGTATAATAGCATTAATGAAATCACTTGCAATGGAATGGTCCAGAATAAATGTGGCTTTCTTTTTAGCATGAAATAGGAATCTGTAGAACTGGTCATAATATTCTCTCAGCACACAGCTCTGTTTAATTCCATATCCTCTTATCTATGAGTCCTACATTTAATTTACTACCATGTGAGTTGATTTATAGCTCTGCTTAGCAAAAGTACAGTCATGATTAAAAGAATACTATATTATCACATCTGATGGACCTTGAGGGTATTTTTCTCTCTCAGATTTTCTAGTAATTTTGAAAATGACATGCAGACTTTTCTAAAGTTAGATTTGCAAGTTGAGAGTTTTTGCTACCTGTCTGCTTTGAGCAGTGGCAACATTAGGGATATGCCTGATGACATAATTTTCCCAGATACTGTCTCCTTATCCGTTCTTAGAAATAGAAAGCTACTGCAGTAAAGTTTTAGACCAGGCGTGCTTCAAAGAATCCCACTTCCCTAGTTTAATCTCTTATTTAGCTGGTATGATAACTGCTAACTTTAGCCCTTTCCTTTTGGGATACTGGTGGACTGTAGGATTTTCCAGTTTGTGAAAGAGAGGCCTCACTTCTTATGCATGAATGATGCATTTTCGAGTTGCTGCTGTGATGGACATCTGCCTGAAACAATATGGAATTGGATTTGGTAGTCACTTCAGGGTAGATGACTTAATTTGCCAAACCAGTTATTTCCACAGGTTTTTCAGAATTGGTTATTCTCCACAGCAGGCAGTTTTCCACTCTCTTCTTTTGAATGTGCAGTATGACTATTTGGCAGCATTTTTGGTTCTAAGAATAAAGAAAATGCTCTTGTTGAACAGGTGACAAAAAGTTATTGTATTTTTATTCTGTTAGAAACATTATTACTATTCTCTGATTCTACTGAAAAATAAGTCACTCTAGATTTGGGTTTATAGAGTTTTGGAATATATTTTTGACCTCTAACAAAGAGTATTTCTCACAAAGGATTCACCTAAAAATTGCCACACTTGGGGCTGGGGAGTTAGCTCAGTAGAATAAGTACTTGCCTGGCAAGCGCAAGGTCCTGAGTTCAATCCCCAATACCGCAAAAAAAAAAAAAAAAAAAAAAAAAAAGCCACACTTGAACAGTTCAATTTGCAGGTTTCTTTCAGCTCAACTTATGGGTTTCTTTCAGTTATACAGAATCATAGGAACCCAGAAAAGAATTAAAGTTCATAAATATGTTATGAAATCAAAATAGAAGAAGTTTGATTTTTAAATCAAATTTGTTGGTGGGGTATTTACAACATTCAAAAGCAAATAAATAGTCTTCATGAGTAATTCTGATTGTAGTCAACATGTTCTTTGATTTTTACTTAACCTCATATAAATAACTTTATCTACATATTATACAATTAACTTCTTTTAATTGCTAAGTTACTAGGCTTTAAAGTCTCTGATATTTTTTGTTGAAGAAACACAGAATGTACTATTAAGGATTTACGTGTTTAAATTACCCTCCTAGTCATTTGCCCAAATCACTTTCCACCAATACATAGTTTGTCAAAGCTCAGATGGTTATTAGAGGTTATCTAGTTCAACTAGGATAAAAGTCATCATGGCAGTTGTTTTTTTGCCCAAATTATTCATGCTGAAGTATGAAGCCTCCTAAAATTACCTTTCCATCTCTTACCAGTTAAGTATCACTGATTTTGTTTGACACTTTAATGTCACTTATAAGAAGATATTCTTCCTCTCACAATTTTGACTAGACATTTTAATAAAACCAAAATTGTTTTCAACTTTAACATGACTGATTTTTGATGAATGGAGTTGAAGATTCACAAATAACTTGGCTGGGTGATGGAGCACAAATTATGCTGAATATTTTAGAAAGCAAATTATAAAGAAACAGATATTGTTAAAAGAAAGAATGTCCAAGTCATTGATCAGGAAGTAAGTAGATAGGAAATGTTACAAATATGTCTTTGCTTCAGTGCTCTGTCAGGCACTGAAAAGATTAGTAGATATCCTTTATGCTAGTGATGACTGACAGCTAAGCACTCATATTTTGCCTCAGCTATCCAGTCATTTCCACATAGTATGGGAGACAGACCTTACTGTGTTACTTTTAACTGCTGCCCTAGTTTCATTTTTAGCAGAAGGAGATTAATAAGAGTATTGATAAAAACATATCCACAGAGATATGTTTTAATAAAAAAACAAACTTTTCAAAAAATGTGACAGGCTCTAATAGATGTGGGGAAGACCCTGAAAAAGAATGAAATTTATTTCTCAGAGGACTTTTTATTCCCTGAAAAATTAGAAAGTTCAGGCTAAGGGAAAAAGCACCAAAAGAGGTTTTCTTGAATCTCTTTCTTCTAGGGAAAGAATAAAGGTGTACGATTTCTCTCACATATACTGAAAAGAAGCCTCCATCCCAGGGACTAATGTTCATTTGATCTTCCATCTGCCCTCTAGTACCTCAGTGATGCCTACCTGAGAACCTCTGGCCTGAGGTATACAGAGACTTAGGAGAATAGAATGGGATGGTTAATGCTTTTTAAATTTCATTTTTGTGTTTACAAGGAAGTTAGGAACTTGGAGTGATTTTTCTTTAGCTTTAAATTACTCAGGTGAGATATGTGGGAAAGGACAGCTTCCTTTTCACTAAATGATAGTCAATAAAAAAACCACATTACTTTTTAAAAACATAAGCAAGATATTGCCTACATTTAAGACTACCTTTTTAAAATTCACTCTCACAAATTTGTTTCCCATTGCAAACAGATACAGTTTGTTGACTAGGATTATAGAAAAACTGTAAAAATGTTCCACCCCAGAGTGGTTTGGAATCTTTAGCTCTATTTTTTATTTATTTATTTTTTTGGTGGAACCAGGGATTGAACTCAGGCCCTTGTGCTTACCAGGGAAGCACTCATTCCACTGAGCCATCTCCCTGGCCCGGAATCTTTAGCTCTTAAATTGAAAGGTATTGCATAGTGCCCAATCTGATTATTGGCAATTGTTTGTTCAGTCTTATCTGAAAGTGTTTGGTTGGCTACATAGAAGTCAAAGCCTTGAACATACTAGACAATTTGGAAGGGGATCAGCACAGGAAGTTCTACAATATAATCTGAAGTGGCCATTGTGTCTGCAAAAAAGATGATTGTTTACTACCTCTTTGAAGTGAGTTCCTTTTGTCTAGTTCCTCACTGTCATGGGTCTCAATTCGGGAGTAGAAACAGGATCGTTGTCATCTACTGTCTTCATCAACACATAGTCCCAGAATGATTGTTTCACATTTGTAGACCAAATAGCGTAGTCCAGCACATATTGGGCCCATGCAAATCATTATTTTTAGTCTCTATGGCCATGATAATAGCCTTCAAATCCAAAGTCATGGCTTTTGAAAGAGAAAACTGATATGTACTTTTAAAAACCAGGGGAAGGGAACAATTACATTCTTTTAAAAGTTAAATTATAACCTTTTGTTTTTGTTTCTATTGAAGAAGAATGTACTAATAAAGCTGCCAATTTCTTTCAGGTGGGTGTACATGGCATTAGAATAGAATTCATCAATGAAAAAGGATCAAAACGCACCGCCACCTACCTACCGGAGGTTGCAAAGGAGCAAGGTCATTGTTGTACTTTATTTCATATGATCTGGTGAAGAATTTAAATAAGTACACAAATTGAACTGTGATATCTGACCTTGCAGTTATGTCTGATAATTGATCAGTATCAAATTGTTAGAAATAACTCTTCCACACTGCCACTGCAATGTCTGTATCAAATTGGTGGATCATTCACACAAAAGTTGAATCTCTGTCCTGATGTTTGATAGCATATACTCACAGACGTATACAGTGAAAGAAGCAAAATTTTTGGAAGTTAAGTTTTATTTTTGGGAACAATTCACTCATAATTAGGAATGCCATTTTCTCTTACTGCATTGTGCTATACGTAGCCTTGTATCTCAAATAAGCCTTTGATTTGACAGTCAGTCACGTGGTTCATTGTCATTGTCAGTATCTAATGTTTCATTCTTAGGTGCTTGTCATTACTCATTCTTCTAATATTAGGAGTATAGATTTCCCACTAATATTGAGATCATTGTGAATCCATGAACTCTTGGACTGCACTCTTCCTAATCAACAGACATTTTCTTATTTTACAAGGCACAGCAGAGAGCTTTACAAACACTGCAATATAAAATAATTTTGCTTTGTAATATTCTGTCCATCTTAGTCCACCATTAAATTTTTTATCCTCATATTTGATGAAACGAGTATCTCTTTTATCTTATAGAGCTTTTCTTCTCATCAGAAAACATTCAAATTTTGTTTCCTATGTTTATTCAAATAAATTTCCAATACATAACAGCAACAAGTTATCATTGAATCCCTAAGCAAGAAAATCTTTAAGGCAGTTATGTGAAGATTTCTTTGGAATGCTTTAGAAAATATCTTAATCCTACAGTGTACATACACTCCATAAAGCATACCTAAGAAAGAGAGGGCCTCAGTATTAGGATATTTTCAACATCACATCCAATAAAAACGCTCTTGAATATTGCACACAAATATTCTTGATGGGTTACAGAAGATATCGTTAAGACCACCAGTTGCTGCAGTTTTAAATACTACTGAGTTGTCACAACATTAAAGCTTTTCCCTCTTTTTTAGAAATGTCACTGTTAGAGAGTACAATGATTGCAGCTTGTTAGAAATAGGACTGAGTAGTTTTACCAATTTATTAAGACTCCTTGTCTTTGAATGTGGTTGAGATAAAGAAGCTAATGTTCAGTTATGGGTAACTAGAATTTATATATGTGATGAATCTGCCTTTGTAGATCTTCTGTATGGTTGTATTTAGGAACAAAGGAGTTGATGGCATTGGCTACAGTGACAGCTGACCTCTACAAAGTCATTTTGTAGTTACCCAAAGGTGCCTGTTACATGTACTTGACTGATACTTTATTTGGTTGATTCTCCACAGGATGGGACCATATTCAGACCATAGACTCCTTACTAAGGAAAGGAGGATACAAAGCTCCAATTACTAATGAATTCAGGAAGACCATAAAACTGACCAGGTACAGAAGGCATTTGCTTGCACACTACTAACCAATACATTTTGGTGCTAATTCCTTTTATTTCTTTGGTCTCTTAACTATATTTATTTCCCTTTTCTAAAACAATGGAAATAAATGGTAAAGTTATACTGATGGTAGATATAATTAAACTGTGTTTGGAAGTAAAGCTTGTATGATGAATGAGCCTTTCCATCATCAGTTCTGTGTGATTACTCTGGCTTTGTCCAAACAATCTAGAGATTGTTACTGGAGAGAGCATCAGAATAAACAGTTGGTTAGCTTTTCACATTGCCTAACAGAACCCTAGGTTTGTGATATATAGTCCTCAAATTAACTTAGAATTT